AAATTTGGGCCGATAGAGATGATATTAGCCTAAAGTTATGGGGGCTTGCCCCCGCGAAATTTTTGTGTTGGTGGGGTTGGGGGGACGTCCTGGCTCTTCCCCCACCCCGTAAATCCGCCCCTGATAACACTGATAAAAAAAAAATCTTCCAGCTACAAAAATAGCAAAAATTGAATCATTAATCAACATAAATAAATCATATTTAAAGCGCCCCGTTTGAATAAGAGCTCTCATTAATTTGAATACGCGCCCTTCGATTCCTAAAAAAAAAAGTTAAAAAAAATAATCATACAGTACAGTACTTTACATCTCCAACTTATTGTTCTGTTGATGCATCAACTATTCGCATCTCAGCATTGCCGGTCGGTCTGTCCGTCCATCCATCTGTAGGTCGGTCAGTCTCCATTAAGTTTAGCATGGAGTTCAGTGTTGATGCATCATTAGAATCGAGTTCTTATTTTATTGCTACTACAGTATCTAACAATTAAAATACAGTATGGCCATCATATTATGCATAGGCCTAGTTGTTATTTTTTCAGTCAACACAAATAAAGTGACCACAACACTCGCATGTAAACATTTTTAATATTGGACTTATTCAACTGGTTCATTTCGTTGAGTACGAATTTTCGTTGAGTATTATCTTCATTCTTCGTAAAACAGACTTCGTTGAAAACGAAAATTAACGTAACCAGAATGCGTTAATTAGCGTTAAGTTATGCACGTGACAAAAAAAATATGACCGAGTGGTCAGTTTAGCAACAACATTTGCGTTAATATAATTTAGATTAAATTTTAGAAAATAAAAATTACAATATTTACCCACATTGAAGTCAAAAAATAATTGCTTGCTAACAGAATTCAAAAACTGGATGAAAACATTTTTTTTACGAAAAACCCTTACTGCCACAATCCGAAGCATCCTTGATTACGCAGCATGTATCGCGTTAACTATGCAGCCATTTTGTTTTGTCGAGTATTTACCAGTTTTCTATTCGACTGGTCGCCTTTATTAAGTAGGATTTACCACTGCCAAGGTGGGCGTGGTTTAACGAAGAACGACCAGTCAAATACGGCCATTGTTATACTTTTGTATACAGTTTAAAGTATAGGTACTTTACCGGTTGTCATTGTGATTAAAACAAACTCGTAAAGAGCGAGAATTCAGTAAATAATATTTTGAATGTTGTCATTTGTTTATCGTCTTCCGTTTTAAACGTACGCGACTACACATCGTTACTTAATCTGTGCTCCGTTTTATATTCAAAAAGAGTCCCTTGAATTTTCCATGTCCCCGCAACACCCCCTCACTTTTCATGTTTTTCTATTGTTCGCTTTTTTTTTTCTCTATTTTTCATTTTTTCCACTCTGTTTTCATAAGCGTCCCGTTTGAATAAGCGCTCCTCAAAAAGTGCCATAAAAATGTTAAGCATTTATTTGCGCTAGTATGGTACAGTCTTTAGTTTCTTACAAGCTAGATTTGCCTAAATTGGAAAAAAAAAAAGATAGACAATAATGCAGAAAGTGATAATATATATATAACATTTAAATGTGAAACTTACCTTCCTCTGCCTCAGTATACGTGTTGAAAGATGTATCAGTATAGCTATGCGTATATTCGGATGTTTGTACCTCCGCATAGTTAGTATGGCTGCATTCCTCGTTTTTAGTTATGGAAAGAAAGCAGCAATAACTTGGATCAATGTAAAACATATTACTAGGATTACATTGTATTCCTAAATGATTATAGGAACAAATTCTCCCACAAACGAATGTTTTGAGTTTGTTGACACCATTGCATTCTTCACCCAAGTCTGTAACAAATGTTTAAAGCGGATAAAAGACAGTGAATTTTATTGCAGTATGTTCAAAATAGCCTATGATAACCCACTTTCATTAGCACCATCCGTTTAAAGAAAAGATGTAGAGCAATGTATCCATTATTTTTAAATAATGAACTAATAAGAATAGAGTTTAAATCAATCTTCGAAGCTGTCTATATTTCAATTTTTTTTTACATCCAACATATTTTGCCAACTAACAACCTGTATGTTTTATTTTTCTATTATTTAGTATTAAATTTGTTATTAATTCGTTTTTTAATATTTGTGTAATAGGCCTATGCATTAATTCAATAGGGGTGTAACATACAAGCAAAAGGGGGAAAATTTGATTTGTGGAATCACACAATTTTAGTTATCCATGATATTTGATTTACAATGGTCAGAGACTAGATATTCGACTCGGTTCGCTCCTTTTCCGTTGTTACATTACCCTTGCTTCATTATATAACACAACAATTATACACAAATTACAGTTTTGATGAGAAGTGAGTTGAAGATATTAATGGTTGAATGATGTTTCCACACCTCACCGTCTCCACACAAATATACGTTTTTGGCTTTTCTACGTTTCGCTTTTATCGAATTGACAAATAGTATGTAATTAATTTGATAAGGAAAAGACCTTAACAAAATTAAATTGGTATGATTTTAGAGACTTACATTTTTCACATTCTCGACATGTACATGAATATTGTGTTTCATCGACTCTGTTGCAAGTCCATCCTGTAGGGCATGAAGAACTTCCACCGCACGGATTCGACCCTACAAGTTTTACAAATTTACTTAATGAATAATCCGTCAAGACACACAATAAGATAATAAAATTATTTATGTAAGTAGTATGTTTAAGAATAATCTTTTTTTTTTATTTGTGCATACTGAGTGTAAACAAAATGAATTGATGTCATTCTAGAGACTTAAAAAC